TTCACGCGTCCGACCACCGAACCAAACCCATAATTACGTATTGTCAGGCCAACATATACAATCATCTCAGCGCAGGCTGAGTTATTACGTTTACACATATTAGGTTTTTGGATTACGTCGTTTTGTCTAATCTTCTGACTCTGACCATGAAGTTGTGACGAAGAAACACGCTTTCCAGGGTGTTACTTCGATCTCCATCCAAGGTACCCACTTGAGGCGTGTGATGGATTGCGTAACTACTAAACAAGTTCGAACATAAATCTCAAAAAGTGCTCTGATTGTGATGAAATCTGTCCATTGGTACTGTAATCGGAACCAATACTGTAGTCCCGATATTTTTTGCACTATATGAAGTCTAGACGTTCGAACGTGTGGTCAGATCTTCGTATTACTTATTATCGGTATGAGTGTGCTGGTTCGACAAGCTCCGCCGGATCAAACCTTGCAAGAGCCAAAGCGATAGTCAACTCGAGGCTCACAGTCCAACTTAATCGCTATCCTGGGCAAGACGGTCTACGCTCCCAGCTCCTTATGGATACATAACCATGAGGTTCTTGTGTCTCGCATACACACCTCAGCATACCGAGCACTTGATCCTGGACCACATGCAACACCCTAGACTGAAACTCGACCACGTTGTATGCGATTTTACCACTCATGACCTGGTAGTCCTGAAATGCTTTGAAAGTCTAGACACGCGAAGCCCTTTTTGGGGATTTTGAGATCTTATTATACGTATTTTATGTACAAGAAGGCGATGGCCTCGGACGCTCGATGCCGAGCCTGTATTCGATTCATGATGAGTTTAAAAGATGTCGTTGATTGAGAGAACGATTTGCATCGACAGTAGCAGATAAATTGTACGGGCTTCTGTCAAGTGTAACTTGCAGCTAAAAGGTTTGATGTCGGAGCCGTGCAACCCTGCACTCATGTATGCGCCATAAAAGTACTGTTCACATGACTACCTTGTGATTTTGATTGATTGAAACCGACCGAGTTGGGGAGTGTAAGTCGGGAGGGACGATACTCGTTCGCGTGGCTGTCTTGGTGTGGGGACCGAGCTCGTAGACTGCGCGTCACCGCGATTCAGACATACTCATAAGCCTAGTACTATACTTTTCATCAGGTTCTTGAGCCTGCTATCAAAGGTACATTTGCACCGTCCGGAAGTAACACAGCGCTTGATCGCTGAGCATCTCTTGATCCGCTGATATATTCACATGCCATAGCATTCTCAAGCCGTGATAGCTCAGCTGGGAGAGCGATAGACTGAAGCTAACCTTCAGATCATCTACAGGTCGTTGGTTCAAATCCGACTCATGGCATCCTTTTATTGCTCTGTTTTCTGTGCTGAAGCCCACTGACGTTTATAGTGTGAGATAAGAAGAAAAAGAACATATGTACCCGATATGGTAGTTGTCTCCCTCTCTCCCGTATATTTAAACATTATATCAAGCCCACAAATCATCTCGTCAGGCATATTTGGCGTACTTCGGATGCAAGAAGGACAGTTGCTTGCACTAGAAATGCCCGTAATACAAGGGAGGAAGGTCACGTGATTTATCAACCATTCTGGCCACTTTTAAACTTGACTACACTGAGACCTAGATGTCGGGTGTTAGGTGAGCAAGAGTAGTATAATAATCGAATGGAGCTACACCCTATTCCTATGCGCATCTGCTCATAAGCTAAAGAGTTTAGCGCCCACCTTGCGAGAGGTACACTTCAGTCTATCGCTCTCAACTGAGCCACCAGGGCCTGAATGGTTATCTAGCCTTCTTTGCGCATCCAAATGCATCTGAATTATGTGGCGAACTTCTTGAGGTGATGTACTTCACGCATTGTATGAGAGCTGGGATCTCGCTGGGGATTATAGCGCCAAGCGCCGAAGCATTGTGCGGAATGGGTGGCCACCCCGGCGCAGATCTTATATATTCAAGCTCGTGGCAATCGCTTTTGAGTCGTAGCTGCATTGACTACTCACCAGGACCGCAGCAAAATTGACGGAAAGAGCCGACGCTTCCCCCACATCGTCGATTCGTGCTTGACCATATTCATTTCAGGTCGGTCATAACTGGGCGTATCGTACCCCTCGGACCCGTCAGCCTGAGATTCCACCGCTACAAGACACATGTGGCGACATAATTCCTCATCGTTGTCTTTTCATGTGATATCAAAAGTGAAATGTATACGCATATACCCACACAAATTACATTATCCAAACCCCCGATTGTGCCCTCGAACCTATTTATCCCCCCGCACACAGAAATACGAGATTTACCATCCCTTCCGACAATCCCCCTCATATCGAGATCGCCCGGGTCGGGCTCAGATCGTCAGACAACGAACCCAGGAACTAGGCCCGAAGACCCCCTAACCCCGCATTTTTGGGCACGTGGAGAGATCGCAGCGAGGGGGGGACCTAGAACACCCGAGCGCGCTCGACGGTGTGGTCGGTCGAGGGCTGGTCCAAGGTCCGAGCGGGTCATGAGTTTGTCGGTTAGAAGGTCGCTTTAGAGTCGAGAAGAACGCGTGTGAGTTGGGTCATGCAATGTGGCTCGCTCGGCTGTGCTCGTTTTGTCCCCTGTGCCCTCGAGTATAGTCGGTGTACTAAGCAAGAATGCCAGCGTGCTAAGCAGAATGGTGAATATAGACATCCCGACGGTTACTTTCGCATATCAGACGAACGGCTAAAACCACGCATATATCGCATTACAGGTAAATTACATTTTGTCGGCCCGTGGCGCCGGAGGGGAACGA